CCCCAAAACCCCAAAACCCCAAAACCCCATGATTTGAATAAAAAGTTAGCATTCACTTAATTAAAATAATAATCAATCGATGGACTATAGAAATCAAAAGAACTTCAGGCTTTTATAAGCTTACAAATACCCAATACTTAATGTATTGACTATCTACTGTTTTTACAAAGTTCTGAAATCCCAGCAAGATATTCATAGAGCTAATGATAATCCACCATAATATATCAAGTTCTTTAATAATGTATGTATTATTTTATCATTTTTTTAGATTGAAGAATACAAGTTAAGGTACTTTGAGAAATTGCTAGATTTAAAGAGGAAAAAAGACTGATTAATTAATTATAAGTAAATTTATAATAATGAAATGAGTCTATCATATTTACAAATTGCCTCTCTCTAAGGCAGTCAAAATTAACTCCACAATCTAGACCTCATCACTGCTCTGGAATTGCCTCAAAAGTCGCTTCATTTTGTGGCTCAACAATAGCTTCCTCCCTAAATTTATGAATAAATAATGTCTTACTGTTGAATTGGAGCAGATGCAACATCCATTTCTTGCTCGAGAACTGGTTCTTGAACTTGTTCATATTGAACTTTTTCTTCAGGAATCTCCTCATCCTAGCATGATTATCTCTCTTCCTCCCTTGTGCTTGAAGAGATATCAATTTTAACTTCTCCCTCAAATTCATTGATAGGTTAGTGCTCTTCTTCCATTTCAATTTGAGCTGGCTTGCAGTCATTTTGCTCCTAAATGGCACGATCTTCATCAGATATGATCTTGATCTCTGGCTGAACATTTTGCCTCTCTTTTGAGGCATTCTGTGATGGAACTAGGGATGCAACTCTAGATGGAATAAACACATTCTCATCTGCGTCTTGCTTATTGTCATCAAAGTTTCTCTTTCTCTTGCTGCTGTTCTCACAAAGAGGTTCTTCTCCTGGTTGATCGTTGCAGATCTCTTAAAGAGATCTCTTTTTTGATGATTTCTTTGAAGAGAAATTAGTAATGCCATCCATGGTCTGATTTGCTTAATCTTGCCCTTGAGCATCGCTCTAATCTCTCTGGTCCTCATTGGGCTCCTCAAACCTTAGCTTAGATAAGCTTGCCTTAACATCACTTACTGAAGAATGAGGTTGTTCAGCTTCAATGTTTGAATCTGACTGCAGATTAGACTAGCCAACATTGACCTCTTCAAGATGGTTCTCATCTTCAGTCATCATGGTGGAGTTCATTGAAACCTTCTTACCATTTCTAACTGTGATTCTTGAAGACATCTTGGGTTAGTTGTCTCTCTCACCATTCTTTGAGTATCTACCTGTTGTAGTCTTGCTCATGTTAGCTGATAACTGAGATTCTTCTTGGTTGGTGATGGTTGACATACTTGAACTAAAAAGTTGCTAGCTTAGTAGATTTGAAATTTAAGATTATAAACTTCTCATTAAAACTGCTTTTTATACTAAAATTTTACTCGTATCTTCATCTCTTGGGGTTTTAAATTCATAATTTCTTGGTATTATT